CCCAATCATCATTTCCCAAATGGCTTAAGGCTCGTAGCGTGCAACAATTGTCATCCCTTATTAAGTGGATTGAAGTTGTTTGAAGATGAGAAGAGAAAGGGACAAACTAGAGGGGACTAGACCAAACCCTAAAAGTTGTCATGCAAAGTGCTCCTAAAGTTGAGATTACAAAAGGGAAATCTTTACCTAATATTATCATGCATGGTTAGAACCCTAATGTCTATCATAACCTCTCTTGAACAAGAGAGGTTAGAAATCCTAAGGGAAGGAAGACAAAGGAAGAAGAAAGAAACATGCATAAGAATGCAAACATGAAATGCAAACATGGAAGGCAAGGATGCAATGCAAGTGAGGGAGGAAATATGTGTAGGGCTGGAGACTCCACAAGCTCATCTCAACCTCAAGCCATAATATGAATAAATGCAAGAGAAGAGGAGAAGAAATGCAACAAGAGCAAACCACACTAATGCACCAAAGAAGGCAAACAAACAACATTGAAAATCATGAAAATAAACACACAAACCAACAAGCAATGAACATAATTTTGACCTAAAAATGAACCTACAGCAAGCTCAACATGTCTAGAATATGAAACAAGAAGAGTTGAGAGCTTATTGGATCCACAAAGGTCATTTCCAATCCAAACTAGGTCATGTACTTGTGTGAGCTTCCATATGGGATGACCTAACTTGTAAGGTATCTCAAAAATAGGAAAACAGCTCCAAAATTACCAAATAAAATGCACAAACAAGCTAAACATGTTGGCAAATAGAGGCCACAAGCACAAGCCAAATATCCCCTCAAAGCACCCTCAAAAGAAAAAATCATTAGGAGGTACCACTTTGAAATGGGAGAAACAAGAGCAAAAAGAAAAGCCACAAAAGTCAACTCAAAAGTCAACAACCAGGGGAAAAATAGTCCTAAAAAATTCCTCAACTCATGATGAACATAAGGATTGATTTTCACTTATTGAACCAAAAAGGAATGGGAGATACAAAATAAAAAGCAAGCAATGTCACAATTTAATTCAACTAAAACAGTTCCAATATTTAATTCATTTAAAAATATAAAATAAAATAAAAATATCCATAAAATACTAGACATCTCAAGGTTCACGAAAAATATTTTTGGGGAATTTTTAGGATATTGGAACTATTTTATTTGAATTAAAACGAAACAGCACACAAAGTAGAATTTTAAAACGAAAATGCTAATTAAATAACAAACATGTGGTATGAATAGCAAACAAATCAAGGCAAAAGTGTGGACTGGGCCTCCAATGGGATGTGAACAGCGCATGATACTTAAGCCCAACAGAAATTCTGAAATTACAAGTGCCACATCATTTAATGAATTGGAGTATTTATCAAGTGCAAGCACAACAAAAACACACACGGTAAGGCTCGATCTCAACCGCACGCGTGAAGACCCAACCAAATCAGAAGACCGACGTGCGTCTTCTCCGCCCTCACCTTCGCCGGCGCCGAAATTTTTTTCCGGCTGTCTTCCTCTTCTCTCCGGCCGCCGCGACTTCCCCCTCCACACACACAGTCTGCGTTTTCGCACCGTTTTTAACGTTCCTTAGATGAAAATTCATCTACTCTTCGCAAGGAACAAGTGTCTAGCCTTAGTTTGCATTGAAACCTCACCAATAAAGAGAAAATCGAACAACAAGCTTGGTGCACAAAAACAAAAGTTCATCAAAACTCAAATAATTTCATCCTAACATCATCCTCATGTTATGTAGGTTATAGATCCACGAAAATCTAAGCAAAACACCTCAAGAATTGATCAAACCGAATCAAGCAAGTTTGGAGCTCATAAAGTCAATCATCACAAACGCAAACAATTATGATCCATAAACGATCTACATGCTTCAAGGATCACAATGCAACAAAAATGGCAAAGAATCATAGCATATTAAGAGTGTAAGGTTGAAAGTTAGTTTACCTAGTGGAAAGCCTCCAATGGGCCTTGAAACTATGCTGAAACTTGCAGAAAATGATCCAAACACGTTCAGTGATCCTCAATGAAGCTTTTGCCACCTTCAATTTGCCTTGAAATGGAGTAAATCTGAGAATTCGAAATTGGAATTTTGCTCACTTTTTCCACTTTGTTCTTGCTCCAATTCTTGACCAAAAACCATTCTGAAGCTTTGTGAAGGTTGGAAATGTTATATATGATGGACCTTGATCAAAATGAGGCCTAATCTCAGTCCATAAAGTCCAAATGAATTTTCACATTTTCCTCACTTTTCTCTCATGAAGGTACACGAATTTGGCATGAAATTGACTTCAAATTGCTTCATTTCAACTGCTGAGAGTGTTTGGAGTGTGAATGGCTGAGATTTGGTCCTTGTTTCCAATCCGATGGTGGAGATTTGTGGTGTTACTTATTCTTGAAGTAAGCTTGGAAATGTCCATGAAAATGACATCAAATTCAAATTCTGAAATTGCCAATGATTTTAAAACATGTTTTCCACTCAAAATATGTATTCACTTGCCCAAAAATGATTAAAAATGAATTAATTCCAATTTTGCCCTTTTAGTCATTCTTTCATGAAAATTCAAATACCAAATCTTCATTCTAAGCCAAATCCATGATTTCTCAATGTTTGGTTGATCAATTGTCATCATTTGGAGCACATTTGATGTTGGAAAGAAATCCATTTGAAGTGTGCAAGATAGTGAAATGGACCTATAATGAAAATGACCCGTAATCTCACTTTCCCAAAATACCCCTAACTTGTAAACCTAATAACTTGAGTTCTACAAATCAGATGAAATACTTCTAGTACAATTTTGAAAGCTAAGACCAAGACCTACAATTTTTATGTTGGCCAAAAGCTGAGGAGAAACATCCTTCTAGGTCAAAAATGGCTTGGAAGTTGGTTGACTTTTGTAGACAAATTTCACATTCATCTGGTAACCTGTAACTTGTCAGCTTCATAACTAGAGTTCCATAAATCCAATGGAGGACTTCTAATACTCAAAAGAAAGTTAAGAACATGCTCTACAAGTTCCATGTTGGTCAAAAGTTGAGATGAAACTTGTATCTTGAGATAGGTGGTCTTGAAGTCAGGCACTAAATAGGGGATTTTACCCTGAGAACCCTAATTTAGTAACTTCTCACACACTTTATCCTTGATGAATTGAACTTGAAATGATGTCTTATATGTCTTAACAAAACATCCCCTAACCATAAAGACTTTGAATTGAGTTTTAATCTCCTTCAATTGCACAGTTGACTGAGGACTATCCAGATGAAAACCCTAATTGTAACACCTTCAACTGTAACTCTTCACACTTGGCACAAACACTTGGATGAGCTCCACAATGACCCTCAAGGAACTCAATGAGCTTTCTCAACATCTGGTACCTATAATCATGCATTCACATTCCTCTGATGCTCTTCAATTAGCCTCTAAGTTAGGAGCTGACCCACATACATACATCCTTTCTTCATAAGACCAATGTCCATTTCCTGATGACTTGATGAACATCCAAACTTGAGTAAAACCCCTTGCTTAGACTCAACCTCCTGAGTAGACTCTTCTTGCTATGCACACGATCTTGATCCCCTGTTCAATGCTAAATGCTATGCAATGCAAATGCTAGAAAGAAATGAAATGAAACATGAAGCAAATCAAAGAAAAGGTTGAACAAATTTTGGGGTGCAACACTCCTTGACTAAAAACACTATCAAATCTCCTTGCCAAATTCACTCCTAACTTGCTAATGTTCGCGCAAGACACCTCTTTTGATCTGACATTATTTCTGGTATTTGGCAAGGTAGACAACACTGACTTAGGCTGAGTTTTCTGAATGGAATTACTTATAGGTCTTATGGAAGCTGGGATATTTGGAGAAATTGTGGGTAGTGGATATCTGATACGTGAACCATCATCCTGAGTAGTTACATGAGTTTGTTCAGCATTCTCTTTATGCATTGACCTCAATCTCTTTGCTCTTTTCTGATCAAGTACAACCTTCCTATGATTTTCTAGCATTTGCTGCTCTTTTCTTTCTTAACAGTATATTAAACAAATTCATTTTCAGATGACTTTTGTTTACCCATTGGCTCTCCCATATTCATATGTTTACTTGTTAATGGAAGTAGTTTTTGGAGGCAACATTATATATAGCATTACAAATTTCCCTCCGTATTCATTTACAACATGTTTATTAATGATGTCGTATTGCATTAAAAGTAGATTAATCATTGAATTGGTGCACTTACCAAAGATACTGAAAAACTAAAAATGCCTACAAAGCTACTCACATGGATTGGTGGAGAATTCAACGAGATAAATAGAAATTGAGATTATGTGGTAAATCATGTTATAATCAATGCGTGCATAAACCCCATTAATCAATAGTTCATTGATATCAGATCTGTCAAATAAATCAAAAGGCATTTGATTCGCTACCTTAAAATATATATACCTCAAATGGAAAAATACGCATTGGGAAGCTACCTTAAAGGATGTTAACATGCTGCTATTTAATTGTTTTTAACAAATGTTTATAATAGCTTGTGTCATTTTCGCATGCTGGTATATAATTGGTTTTGGTTTTAACGAAAAATTTATATAATTTTAGATAAATAAACTGATAGTAGATGTGTTATATAGTAAACAGATTGAGATTTAGAACAATGAGTGTTTCATTAATATTTGCTGGTATATATTGTTTGGTTGAGTATTATGAAATAAGGTAGTTAACATAACTTTTAAAAATATGGATACTCTTTTAATGTCTACATTTTAAAAGTTGCAAGACAGTGATTGAAAAATGAAAAGTTATGTAATCTAAGCAAGCAAATAATACATTAATAACCCACTGCTGAATAATTATGTAACAACATTATGTAGTTACACTTCAATCTTTCTTTGTTAACAAAGAAAAAAGAAAAACGAAGTTTCCAAACCGTAAATGAAACTAAGAAACCAACCATGACAAAGAAATAAAAATAAAACTGCTAATTCTATAATAGCCAAATCAAACAGTTGGTTCCATTTTCACTTTCTTCAACGGTTTGGTGCCTGAAAATTGTGTAGCCACATAAACTTCACAGTCAACATCTTCAACATTACGACCGACAGAGACATCCTTAGTTGGGGTATTTGCACAGTTTGTATCAGGATCATTTTCTCCAAATGCAGATAATGATTGCTTCAAATATAGCAAAATATAGTTAGTATTCTTAAGAGAAATCACAATCAATTTATTGAAAATGTAAATATGAATCAACAAACCTCAGAGGCTTCTACAAGATTTTGGAATGCATTTTCCATTACAGGTAGACTATCGGCCTGCATATACGTACAAAACATTTATACCTCACAAGCAATGAAATCATTTTCAATCTGATTGACAAATTCTTCGTCATAACAGAGCTTCCACACAGAACCCTGTCCAAACGTTGGCTGAACTTTTACTTTGAAAGCCATTTTCTTACCCAACAGCAAGTCAAGGTCATCAGGATACACCATAGGGTCATCTTCACCTTCCTAAAAATAACACATTAAGAATATAAAGCAATTCATTAAGCATTAAATAAGTAAGGATGAAACTGGAAAAGTAAAAGTCAATATCTGCATCATTGTGATATACATATTTTCAGCAGACTTTCCAATTATCTCAGTACAATCGGTATCCCAAAAGACAAAGCAATACTTAGAATCACCATCGACAACATATATATCAACTTTGTACCTTTTATGTAAATGAAAGATTACATATAAGTAAAAATCAACAATCAGTATATGAGAAACAAATTGTCCTACAAATTTAGATGTATTAAAAATCAACAATCAGAATATGAGAATCAACCCTGGTATTGCTTTTTGAACCTTTTCTCCACATGAACACTGATATGGATTGTTTACATCAGATGCCTTTAAAGTACATTTTGTACATCCATAATAAAACCAACCATGCTTTGATACATGAAACTTCAGGATAGTTGCTACAGTGACACATAGTATTTCCTAAAGATAATTGTTTGAAGATATCACAACATAGTACAACATACTTTTAACTGCAAAAAAATCTAAAATATGTAATGGGGACATATTTTACCTTAGGTCTTTGAGATTGAGTGACACAAAAGTCATTTTCCCAGGTGTGTGACACTGGAAATTGTTGATCTCATGAACAACACCAACAATATCTAAAAAAGAGTAACCAAAGTAAAATTAATACTACGACATTTATCATAAGAATATATGATATTTTTATAAAAATATCTTAAAAATAAACTAGCCATTTGAAGAAATGATACCTTCAAGTCTGTTAAGCTCACATTTGCCTCCAAGGACATCACCAAAATCTTTGAAATAATACTTTTTTGGAGGAATGCTTTGAACATCAACAACTTTCAAGTGGTACCACCAAGGAACACAAATTTCTGTAAATAATCACATAACTTCCACTGAAAATCATTATCATAAACAGTGCTGTTGTTGATTATGCAGGTCATGTTCTCCTGAATTCGTTCTTTCCATTTAGGTGTATGGTTAGAACAGATCAAAACTTGTATTCTGTCAACCTAAAAGACATTGGAAATAAAGTAAATTTTTTAAAGATTTTGATTAGAATCAAATGAAAATTTATACGAAAGATTGTAAAAATATTACCGATGCATCCACTGTTAATAACGCTTCATGCATCCACTGTTAATAACGCTTCATGCATCAACGATTGAACCGCCAATTTCCTTGGTGTCGTTAATGTGCTTGATATACTTATTTTTTTAAAATTTTATAACTTTTATTTTCTATACCGAAATACTTAAGACTTGTGATATCAATTTTTTGAATATTTTTTAAATTTTTATTAAATTATTTATATGAGTGCATTTTGATAAAAAACATTATAAATAATAGAATATGGGTAAAATTTTCTTAAACATATAGATGGATTTATTAATGAGGTCGGCCATGTTATGGTCAGTTTTACTTTGTATAGAAAAAAAAAACTCAAATGAGATTAAATAAACACCAAAAACATTTCTGCTAGGTTAGCTGTCCAGCAGTAACTAAAATAGAACAGAAGGCAGGGGCATTCAATATAAGCGGTCCAAAGGGCCGTTATCGTCCTTTCAATGGGACCAGACGCAGCGAAAAATTCGGTATCGAAAGTTCTCTCGTGAAGCATAACAGCAAACTTAATTAAAAAAAAAACTTAATTTATTTGCTTAAAAATTAAAATGCAGTAAAAAGAAACAGTGACAGAAGTGTCAGCACTTAAAAAATCCAGGTGTTAAAAAATTGTAAGAAGTTTTGAAAAATGTGACGTGTGTGGGTGAAGATGACGATGCACCATTAAGGATTGTGATTTTTGCATTTCTCACGCATCAACTTGTTCATCATCATTCTCCAAAACTAAAACGCCAAAGCAAATGTCACACGGAGTATTCATATCTATTTACATTATTACCCTTCAACTAATTATTCTATTCACTTCACCCGCTACCTCTCATTACTCTTCTCCATCACCTCCAGCCGCAGCATTCTCCGAATCCCCTGACGAACCTACCTCATCTCCCGCCGCCGAATGGCTCTCCGCCCACGCCACTTACTACTCCTCCTCCGATGACACCAGAGACGCAGTGGCCGGCGCATGCGGCTACGGCGACTCTCTCAGAGACGGTTACGGCACCACCGCAGCTTCTCTCAGCGAAACTCTCTTTGTCCGCGGCCAGATCTGTGGCGCATGTTTTGAGCTTCGCTGTTTTGAGGAGGATGTTCCGTTTGACCGGCGGTGGTGCGTCTCCGGCAGTTCTATTGTTGTTACGGCTACCAATTTCTGTGCTCCGAACTATGGTTTTGATGCGGAGAGCGAGGGTGGACATTGTAACCCTCCTAAGCAGCATTTCGTGATTCCTGTTGAAGCTTTCGAGAAGATTGCGATTTGGAAAGGGGGTAACATGCCCGTGGAGTATCGCAGGTACTTACTCTATTTTTAATCTTTCTTTCTATTAGTTTTTCTTCCAGAATCATGCAAGTTATGAAGGAATGTGTGTAACTAACAGTTGTTGCTGCAATTGCAATGTTACAAATGATTAAAAAATAACATAAAGTAGACCTACCAGATTTATTATAATCAAAATTAAAATAATAAAAGACAAAATTATTATTCAACCATAATATCTTCAAGAAGCAATACCCTCTAGAACAATTTTTTTCTCTAAAAATATGAGAATTTGGTTTTCGGTGAATGGTAGCAGGATGATTAGTGAGCTTAAGCTTTTGGTCCATTATGGTAAACTACTAAAACTAAGTGGGAAAATATTATGCCGAGTCAGATTAGATCCGTCTTACAAAAACTAACCAAAAAAAACAGGATAGAAATGTACGTCTAAAATTTTGGCCGTACTAAAACAGTCTTAACTAAAACACATATGGTAATAAATTAAACAAAATTTTCAATAATTATATAATTTTCATTAGATTTTTAAATTAGTTTTGTATTTTTTTTATAATTTATATATAAACTTAATAACTTATAAAATTACTTACTATTCTAAATTAACATTTTTTTAATTTCTTTATTAATTTTAGAAAGAAAAAAAAAAGCTCCTGGTACAAAACTGTCTAAATGGGCTAGTCCATTTGGACCAACCCGCCTGGTCCGAAAAGTTATAGAGTTTGAGTATTAAAATTAAAGTCCATATTTTTCAAGATTTTTTTTTAGTTCAATCTTAAAAAGTTTACTATCCATTAAGGTTGTCCCATATAGCCCATTATATCCGCATAACTATAAATTTTAAAAAAAATATATTACTCCCTTCGTCTTCAAATAAGTGTTCTCTTTAAAATTCTCACACTTTTAAGATAATGATTAATTAGGTTGATTTCAATGATAAAATGAGTGTTATTTACAAAAATAATCTTATTAATAATTAGTGGAGTAGTTATATGAATTAAAATATAATAAGAGTAAATTTTAAAATATTTAGATGTATCCTATGAATTGGTAGCACACCGTAATGAAAATTTTAAAATATTTTCAGATTTTAGAGATGCGTCTCCAAACGCATTCAAAAAACACAAATCATATTCCTTTTCTACAACACCTCAAACGACAATTTATTTGATTCCGAAAATGCATCATCGGAATTATTGAAACACATATTCAAGAGCACAAATGCAAATTGATGCTTATTAAAGTTAAAATTAAAATTAATAACTTAAAAGATTAAACAATACATAAATAATCCAACATTACATAAATGAAACATATCAGCGTCAAGGTAGACGTTCCATCAACCTAACAATATCTTCGACAAATCTCACTATTTTAGCATCTAACTCGATCTAAAAATTTGTTTTCGTAGTAAAAAAGTGTATTCGATATAGCTTTTACATCTATAACAATCTTGAGCTCGAAGTTGTGAACTTAATGCTACCTTCATTCTGATGTAATGTAATGGTGTAAAAAAATGAAATGAGAGTTCTATTTATACAAGTTCTAGGCCAATCTCAGAATTTCTATCTTGTACCAGGGAACGTTTAGGAGATGCATCTATGAAACCATCTTGTTTGTATTTTTTTTAAAAACAGTTTGGGTGTGTTTAGAGATACATCTCCGAAAACACCCAACACTGCAGCAACACAGTTGGAAGCATAACTTATTTTGGATAGAAAAAAATTTAAATTTTATGGGGATAAGGAGTCACAGTTGCTGCGTATGTGTTGAATATGTGTCCATCGAAGAGACTAAGGATCAAAGTTCAAGAAGAAGTATGGAGTGGTAAGAAACCATCTATACATCATCTTAAAGTTTTTGATTCAATTTGTTATAAGAATGTTCCTGATGCTAGAAGAAAGAAACTAGATAATAAAAGTGAAGTAATGATACTTGTTGGTTATCACAAAATTGGAGCTTATAAATTGTTTAATCCATTCGCGAAAAAGCTTATGATAAGTAGAGACATCATTGTTGATGAGAATGAATCATGGAACTAGGCATCTAATAGCACAACTAACAAATCTTTGATGAACTCAAGTTTGAATAAATTAAATAGTGAGCAAGATGAAATTCCACTAGAAGAAGTAGCTGAGAATGTTCAAAATGATGAGAATGTTCTAATTGAAAGAACTCACAGAACAAGAGTAATTTCAGCTAGTTTGCAAAACTGTGAAGTAATAGTTGATAGTGAAGTCATAGAAGATAGAGACTTGGTTCATTTTTCACTGCTAACAGATGCTGAGCCTATTAACCATAATGAAGCTTTGAAGAATGAAGCATGGAAAGCTACAATGACAGAAAAAGCTGCCATCCATTGAAG